TGTTCTTGATCCCTTTGGTCAGTTGTTTCTCTCACCAAAGGGAACCGAGAAGCCCCAATAAGCTGGAATCTGGGAAACTCCTGCTAGCAGGGTCCAGACTTTCCTCCCAACGTTCCACATCCTTTCTCACAGCTGCTGTTGCTTCCTTCCTGATTCCCAGAGAGCTTCCGTTCCCAAAGGCCAACATATACATCCTACTCTGATCTCAACATCAGCTATCAAATGCTACGTAGAGGCTCAGATTCTTTCCCAGTCCCGCTTTCAGACCTGTGGCTGAAAGCCGCCCCTCTGACGTCAGGTGCCTCTGTTGCTCCAGACTCTGGCCGCGCCCGCACCCCAGGTCCCCTGCCACTGGCACAGGTGTCCATTTCCATGCCCCTGCTTCCGCGGTCACAAATACGTATCCCGTTTGTGTCACTGTTGCAGTTGCCTCGGGGCTGCTCCTGCAGCTGGGGAGACGGGGCAAAAAAACAGCGTTTCCATGAGTAGTTTTTAGCCCCCAGTGCCAATGGGGACCTCCTGGTGTGTGAGAAGAGTAAAGGGATAGAAAAAGGAGACTCAGAGGAGTGTCTCCCCAGACAAGGGCAGTGCCGAGCTGTTAGTTGGGCAGGCGGAGAAGAGAGCGTGGATATCCAGGTGCCCCAAGGAGCAGATGCTATAAAAAGCCAGCCTGTTCACAGAAGACCGCGCTGAGGTGCCTGACAGCCTAGCATAGCTTTGTCACCTGTGGGAGGCCCCTGCAGACTCATAATTAAGAGTAAAGACATTTACCTGGTCCTTGAATTGTGCTGGTTGGAAACCAAGGAGAAGAACGAGTGGGGAATCTGGTTCCTAGGATACTTTCTGTTGGACTGTTGGACCGGTAGCATCTTTAGTATAGGTTGGCAGATCGCTTTCAACCACAGCCGTAGCTACTAAGGGCCTTATAGAACTTGGAGTTTATGACATTTCTGACGCTAACATGGTTTTATTATTCCAGATTTATACAATTCTAAAGGCAGATGAGACTTAATTTTAATTCATTCTCCTTCTCTCTCTCTGTCTCTCTCAACAGGCTAAGAGGTTTAAACGGCTTGCCTAAAGTCTTACCACAGGATACGACTCAATGGAATAGTCCATATTTTCTGATTCATGGTCCATTAATGCTCTGCTGCCTCTTCTGTTAGAGCAGAAAAGAATCTCAGAAGCACGGACAATT